CCCCTTCCCTCCCTTCCCTCCCCCCTCGCATTAGCTCCCCTCGCCCGCGTCGCCCTTGCCCTCGTTTCTTCCTCTCCTTCCCTGCCGCCGACATTCCTTCCCTCCCCCGCTCCCCCCGTATCTCTCCTACCTCCTCTGGCTCCCCTCCCACGCCCCCCTCCCTGTGTGCGTCTTTCGCCCTGTCCCCCTTCCCCCCCTTCTCTCCCCTCCCCCCTCCCCCCTCCCTCCCCCCTCCCTCCCTTAGTTCCCTCGCCTGGCGACGCGCTGCACAATGCACTCCGCCGCGAGGGCGAGCTGGGCCAGGGGTCGAGGAGGAGGGGGGCGGAGGAGGGGGAAGTTGAGAGAGGGTGGGGAGGGGGAGGACGAACGGGGGCGGCAGGGGAGGGAAGGATATATAAAATATGTGGGCGGGATATCAGGCGGAAATGGAGGGATGGGGGTTGCGCGTGTGGTTTGTGCGGCATGTGCTGGCATGTTGCACCCAGGCATACTATTGGTTCCCAGTATTTGCAACTAATTGCCTCAATATGTGCAACGTACTGTGTTGCGTCTGTGGGGATGCGTGGCCAATGCCTTGAAACGTCCGCAGTCTTTCATGGGGAGCGTGAGCCTGGTCGTGGAGCACGTGCGCACTCATGCGCCTGGCTCGGCACCGGAACCATACTTGCCAACGCAGACATGGGCGCTCTGTGATAGAGCCAAGTGTGGATCCTATGATATGTCTGTTTGTGCACTTTCGAGGCTCCTGATATGTAGCGGGCGCGCGCTGTCAAAACCCCTCCACAGGAGGACCGTCTCTTTGGGCCATCATTGGCTCGATTCGCCATCCCTGCACGCGTATGCGTACGTCAGGGTGGGTGACGTTTCACTTGCTCGTCCATATACAAAAGGCGTGGTGTTCCTTTGTCAAATTCCCGAAGTAGCGAAACGATTCATTTGTAATTCTGGTGTCGTGAGTGTGCCGATCACTTTTGAGAAATCGTTCAAGGTTTGCCAGGTATGTTGTAAGACTGTTCGAACCCTGGCGGTCGTGCTCCACCGCGCGCCGAGCATGCGACTGCTTCGTTGGGATATGTTAGTTTTGGGGGTGGTTGCGTTTTTTCCTAGCCGCCCAGGTTCAGTGCGCGTTTCGGCTCACCGACATCATGTGCGCACCTCGGAGCTCTGATTCGCATTCAGAAAGAGTTGCGCTACGCAGCGCAGGGCCGAGGCATGATATTTTGAATGATAAACGCCCGTGCCAGCGCAGACGTGTCGCTCTGGCCGGCCACCGTTGGCCACGCCATTCGAAGGCAGCGCGTGGATTTCATGCGCCGTTGACGTTCCCCGATGACTGTCCTTGGGCCGTGCTCCTTATATTGCGTCGTTCTTTCAGCCGGCCCGTCGTCGCGACTTCTGCCCGCGCTGGTGCTTTCGTTTATGTTCGTCCCCGAAGCGCTTGACTAGTGCAGTGGTTTCCAAAACGTCTCGATTTAGTTGTCTCTCCGCATGCCCCTGGGATCGCGACCCGGTCTTGCGAGAGCGACGCTCTCAGGAAGGATCTCATTCGCTCCCTGTGTTTGCGCACTTCCGCCTTCTTTGAAAAAAAAGGTATGGTTTGGTAGGGGTCGGTTTGGCCGCCCCTGATCAAGGTGCCAAGAGGCGGCGTCCTCGGCTAAAGACTCGGCTCCGTCATTGCCAGTACATAGCACCCCGCAATTGCGGATAAGAGTGAAGGGGGCAGGCGCGGGCGACGCGGACGTCGTCGAGCCGGCGGACCTCGTGGCCCCCACCTTCCCTGTCGATGGCGCTTTCCTCCTCTTCCTCCTCCTCCTCCTCCTCCTCGTCCTCCTCCTCCTCCTGCTCCTCCTCCTCCTCCTCCTCTTCCTCGTCCTCGTCCTCGTCGTCATCGTGATCGTCATCGTCATATTCCTCCTCCACCTCGTCCTCCTCTTCTTCCTCGTCCTCCCTCTCCCCCCCTCGTCCTTCCACCATCGTCCTCCAATTGTCGTCCATCATCATCATCCTCCCCCTCCTCCCCCTCCTCCACCTCCTCGTCCTCCTCCTCCTCCCCCTCCTCCCCCTTCTCCCCCTCCTCGTCCTCCTGCTGCTCCTCCTGCTCTTTCTCCACATTCTCCTTACATCCTCTCTTCTTTCGCGTCCTCCTCGTCCCCTGTTTACTCCTCCTGCCTCCCCCTCCTTTCCCAAGATAACGGAAACGCAATCTTTTTTTGTCACTTTATGCTCCCCGACTTCTCTGATCAAGGCAACTCGCCAGGGCAAAGTTGCTGGACGGGCTGGTGTGGATGTGCGGGGTTTGAAGAGGTCGTTGCGGGCTCAGACGGCATGCACAAATCCGCCGCCGCGCTTGTGCGGCATTGGTTTGTTCAATGAACGTGGTTTGGGTCGCGGGTGGGTCGCGGGCTCTCCACCTCCACCTTGAAGGAATGCAAAAGCAGCCCGCCGCAGGCGCCGAAAACATTGGTTTGTACACTGAACGTGGAATGGGTCGCGGGTGGGCCGCGGGTTCCCCACCGGGAACGAATGCAAAAGATGCCCGCTGCAGGCGCCGAAACATGTGGTTTGTACCCTGAACGTGGTCGCGGGTGGGCCGCGGGCTCTCCACCTGAAACGAATGCAAAAGATGCCCGCCGCGGGCGCCGAAAATGGTGGTTTGTACGTTGAACGTGGTTTGGGTCGAAGGTGGGTCGCGGGTGGGTCGCGGGGTGGGTCGGGGTGGGTCGCGGGTGGGTCGCGGGGTGGGTCGCGGGGTGGGTCGCGGGGTGGGTCGCGGGGTGGGTCGCGGGGTGGGTCGCGGGGTGGGTCGGGGTGGGTCGCGGGTGGGTCGCGGGTGGGTCGCGGGGTGGGTCGCGGGTGGGTCGCGGGGTGGGTCGAAAAACGACGACAACAACAACAACAACAACAATTACTAGCACGTGGGGACACTCCGTTCTCACCAGTGCCAGGGTTTTCATAGGAGGCGGGCAATACCCCCACTTTGTGGGGGGGCCGGTTCAAGCTCTACCAAATTTCCAAACGACTCTTCGCCACCACCCACACCCAGCTTCCCGCCCTATGACGTTCGGACACTTCACTTCGTGGCATGCGGACGACCGTGGCTACTATTCAGGGCCCCGCGGCCGACGACGACGGCGTGCGCGCGCGAAGAAAAAACGAATGTGTCCCGCATGGTATTATTTGACAGGGATGATGGCCCTGGCAGGTGCGCAACCGTTGTTGCAGAAGTTCGAAGCACGTGAAAAAGTTGCTCGCAAGAGCCCGTTTGACAGAAATGTTGAAAAAGTATTGGGTTTCCTAAGAAATCCGCAAGAGCGCGCGGGATGAATGTTTGAAACTTTTTTTTTTGAAAAACCATTTTTTTTTTTTTTTTTTCTTCATGTTTTTATGTTAAAATCGCTACGAAAACTAAGGTTTTGGAAGGATTTCATCTTGCGCGCGCGAGTGTGCACTTCGTGTCATTTTTTGCAAAGGATTCGTGAAGTTTGGTTATGTTAGAACAAGACATGTCATTTTATATTGTTTTTTGTCAGGGAAAGCGGGCGTCAACAAAACAACCGGATCCGGACTCCCCCGTTTTGCCTGAGACTTCCTCACGAAAATGATGAAACTCTGGCTGCGGCCTAGGCGCGGCGAGGGGGGCGTGCACCAGGGGGCCCAACAATAATTATTCTTTAGAAGTAATAATATTCAACAACAACAACAACAACAAAAACAACAACAACAACAACAACAACAACAACACCAACAACAACAACAACACCAACACCAACAACAACAACAAACATCAACAACACCATCAACAACAACAACAACAACCAACAACCAACAACAACAACAACAACAACAACAACAAACAACAACAACCAACACCACACAACAACAAACAAACAAACAAATAACCAAACAAACAAACAAACCAACACCAACAACAATAACAACAACAGCAACAACAGCAGCATCAACAACAACAACAACAACAACAACAACAACAAAAACAACAACACCAACAACACCAACAACACCAACAACAACAACAACAACGATAATCCGCACCGCGAAATCCCACTTCAGCCACGCACCCAGGGACAGTGAATGACCGTTCGGCCCCCTCACTCTGATTAGGATGTTTAGCGTGTGTGTTCAAATCTGGATCGTATGCGACGTATGTGATCTTTCTCGAACTTTCAAAATTCCTAGGCTGCGCGAACAAACCAATCAATTACCCGAGACGTACCCAAGCCCTTTTCCACGAGAGACGAATAAAGCATGACCGCTCCATGCACAATAACACAACGCCAGATATGCACGAACTGCGATGCTCTAATCTCTGCCGTGCGTCCCAGGAGCCCATCCTCGTGGCCCCCGACTCAGCTGGACCTCCCAGGAGCCCACGAAAGGGGTGGCAATTTCTTAGATCGCAACAGCCCAGGGAGAAGCGAGGTCCCAAACGGGTCCGCGTGGCGCCCAACTTCGCTGGACCTCCCAGAAGCAATCACAAGGAACAGCGAGGTTCCCGATGGGTCCGCGTGGCCTCCGACTCCGCTGAACCTCCTGGGAACCCCGCTCCTTCCCATTGCCCAGGTGGGGGTTGTGGCCAAGCGCATGCGAACAGCGCTCTTTCGCAAAAACCAGCCCGAGTAGGGCCGTTTGGACGGGATCTGCTCCAGGGTAGACATTGCGAACTGTTTGGCAAGCGCCAGGCAGCCTGAGAAACTGTTACACCCTGGAGGGCCACTTGGTCCGTGGCAGAGAGCCCGCAAAACTCGGCGGCCTGAATGGTCTGAGGGAGGGAGACCACGAGGAGAAAAACAGCGTGACCAATGATCTCCTGGTCCTGACTGGGCATACTGAAAACTACATAAGCCCACCAACCCACCCGCTTCTGGACAGCTCACGAATCACGCTCCGAAAACAGCTCCCATCGATGAAACACGTCCTCTTGTACCTCTAGGTCTGTGCAACCTACCTGTTGGAGAATGGCTGCCCTCACCCTGCCGCTCCTCCGAGGGGTGGTCGCGCATGGACAGCTGCCGCCTCTTGAACGGAACGGGGCTGGCCAGCGGCGCAGACAGCTCGCAGCAGCTAAGCACGTACCTGGAGGCTTCTCTTCAATCGGGCCGGAAGTGAAGACCGAAGATAGCACCGCATCGACAAGCCATCGACGATGCACCAGCGACGTTGGGATGGACCATCCAGCTACAGACCGCGCCGCATCAACGATGCGTTGGCGATGCGGTGCGACCTCCAGCAGACCCCATTTGCTCTGGCCTCGTCTGTCATGGTATTTATGACGCCTCGGGGACACTCGGGGTACACGAAAATAGGAAGGAGAAGGAAGAGGAGAAAAAGGGGGAGGATGGGCAGGAGGAAAAGCAAATCAGCCCGCTCGCCAGAACCCTTGAAACGGCATGGAGGAGTCCTGGAGGCCGGGGGCACCCGATGGCGAGGGACTCGAGGGAGGCCGCGCTCAGCGCCGCGCGCTCCCCCCCGAGGAAGAGCCACCCGCGCACCTAGAGGCCTCCTAGATGGGGTCCGAGTTGAATGGGGCCGACGGATCGCACTGCATCGCCAATGCCTCGGCGAAGTCGGCGGTGTATCGGCGGCGCCAGCACGGATAACATCGGGCTCCACATCGAGCCGCACTGCCCATGCGGCGCGATCCTCCGATCCTGCCGATGCACCCCCTACTCGATCGGGCCACATCTGGGAGGCCAAGAGCACCCGCGACAGCCCCGCCGCGGCGCGCCCCGAGGGCCTGCCCTGCGAGCGGGCCAGGGTCGCCGCGGCGCCGCGGGCGTCGCGCGCCGCGGCCTGCGCCGTGGGGCGCGCGCCCGCGCCCGCGGCCGCCGGCGCAGAGGCGCAGCGCGCGGCGCGGCCGGGAGGCTGCGGGCGGCCGGCGACGGCGAGGCCCGGCGGCGGCGGCGCCGTGGCGGCGCGGCGCCCGGCGGGCGGCGCCGCCCGCTCGCGCTGGCCGCGGAGGGGGTCCTGCACGCCAGCGCGCAGTCCCGCGCCGCAGCCGCTGCCAAGGGTCTCCATCGCGCGAGGGAGGCGGCGCGCGCGAGGGCGGCCGGGGTGCTCCTTCGCCGCCACGCCGCGTGCTCCTTGCCCGCCATCGCCGCCGTCTCCGCAACCACAAGAAAGTCGCCCCCCACACACGTCCTCTTCCCGCCTCGTTCCCCACTCTCCAGATTGCAAAAGCAAGTGCTCTTGATGAGGCCTCGGCGTGGCTGTCACAGTCGTCGTTCCCATCATCCGCACATATACACGTGTACATATTCACACATTTACATGTGTACATACATCTACATATTTATTCATACATACATACACAAACTAGAGCCATCGCGCGCACTTCGCGTGCGCTTAAGCTCTAGACCAATTCAGGACAATGCTTGTCGCGATAGCCCAGTATAATGCAGTGGCAGCGCCCACATTGTCCTCTTCTTCCCCCTCCCCTCACCTCCCCGTTGTCCTTCAATCATCGTTCGCCGCTTGCGTGTCATATGATCTTCCTGCCTCGTCCCCTCTGCTGTTTATATCCTTTTATTGTATTCTTCCTGTCAGCGCAATCTCTGTCCCAAAGCATCCCAGGACCTCCACTGACCATTCTGAGGGGCCCATGAAGGCCCAATCGGGCGAATTCGGAATTGGGAGGTTTTTCGGGGATCCCACTCCCCTCCCGGGAAAACATGGGAAAAACCAAAGAACAACTCCCGAACTGGACGGTTTTTAAAGAATTCCCGCCCCACCTGGGAAAATATTTGAAAAAACTGCAGAACAACTTCCGAGTTGAATTTTTGTTCGGCGGTTTCCCGGGCAGTTTTCTGAAATGGCATTGTTCTTAATTGTGTGTTCCCAGAACACTAGAACAACCATAAAAAAAAACATAATTGGATGATCTTTCTTCCTCTAGAACACCCATGAACAAACCCTGGAAAACTCAAGGAACAAACTCAAATTTTCTTTTCTTGTTCCTGGGTTTTCCTGGGTAGTTTTCTGGACTAATGTTGTTTTTAATTGTGTGGCACCAAAACACCAGAAACAAACACAGAATTGGGAAATTTCCGAGGGTCCCCCCTCCAGGAAAACAATAGAAAAGCACCGGAAACAAACAACAACACGGAGATGTTCTTTCGAAGGGTTTCTCCCCTGGAAAACTCTTGAAAAAAACGAAAGCAGATGAACCAACACCAAACAAACACCGAGTTGGAGGGTTTTTCGGTGGTGTCCCGAGGGGTTTTCTGAAATAGTATTGTCTTACATGTAGGGCACCAGAACCTTCGAAACAATTGTTTTCGCGGGTTCCCCTTCTGGGAAAGCCAAAAAGGAAAAACACAACAAAACAACCCAAACTTTTGTTTTCTGGGTTCCCCCCCAAAAAGCCGCCGAAAAACGACAAACAACTTCAGACAAATCAAGAACAACAAAAAACCCAATGGGGGTTCCCAGGGGATTCCACGAACTGCCACATCCAACTGCATGTTCCTATCCAGTCGACCTGGGCCCCTTGAATCAAATCTGGAGTTCATCCACGGGTGAAGGGTGGATCAGTGCGCCGCTCTGGGCCCCGTGAATTAACTCTGGAGTTAATTCGCAAGGGAGGGGTGGATCAAGGCGCCGCCCTACTATGGGCTCCCTGAATGAACTCTGGAGTTGATCCGCGGGGGACAACATGGATCACTGCGCCGCTCTGGGGCCCGCGAATTAAATCCGGACTTAATCCACGGGGGACAAGTGGATCAGGGCGCCGCCCTGTGTCCCGACTCCGAAGTTAATCCGCGGGGGAGGGGTGGATCAAGGCGCCGCCCTATGGGCCCCGTGAAATAACTCCGGAGTTAATCCACGGGGGAGGGGTGGATCAGGTGCCGCCTGGTGCGCCTCCGGGCGGCCTGCCCTTGGCCCCGCGAGTCAACTTGGGAGTTAATCCACAGGGGAGGGGTGGATTAAGGCGCTGCCCTTGGCCCTGTGAGTTAACTCACGAGTTGTTCCACAGGGGAGGGGTGGATCAAGGCGCCTCCCTATGGGCCTGGCGAATTAACCCTGGAGTTAATCCACAGGGGAGAAATGGATCAATGGCCGCCTGGGGCGCCTCCAGGCGGCCTCCCGAAAGCCCTCCAGAAGGCCTCTGAGAAATGCCGCCCTGGGCCGCGTGAGAAAACTCTGGTGTTCATCCACGCGGGAGGGGTGGATCAGGGCGCCGCCGTGGGCCCCGTGAATTAATTCCAGAGTTAATTCACAGGGGAAGGGTAGATCAGAGGCCGCCTGGGCCCCCTCCAGGCGGCATCTCAGAGGTCCTCCCTCCAGGGGGCCTCTGAGGGGCGCCGCCCTGGGCCCTGTGAGTTAACGCCAGAGTATATCCACGGAGGAGGGGGTGGATCAGAGGCCGCCTGGGGAGCCTCCAGGCGGCTTCTGATCCACCCCTCCCCCGCTGATTAACTATGGAAAAATTCACGCGACCAAAGGCGGCACCTCTCAGAGGCCTAAGGCCTCTGGGAGGCCGCCTGGAGGCGTCCCAGACGGCCTCTGGCCCACCCCTCCCCCGCGAAACTCACTTCCCGGACTGGGGACCCCAGTGGATAAATTCCAAAATTAATTCACGTGGCCAAGGCGGCGTTCTGATCCACCACTCCCGCGTGGATTAATTCCGGAGTTGATGCCTACCGGTATGATTTCTTGCACTCCATTATCTCGACCGACCGACCGACCGTGCTTGGGGTGTGCGCTGGGCTGGGATGTGTGCTGGGACGTGTGCTGGGACGTGTGCTGCCTCTGTGTGCTGGGATACGTGCTGGGATGTGTGCTGCCTTCGTGTGCTGGAATACGTGCTGGGGTGTGGCCTGGGTGCACTGGGGTCTCTGGGCCGAGACGTGCGTTGGGATGCGTGCCGCCCCCGCGTGCTCTGCCTGCCCCCCCGCACCCCTCCGCCCCGTGGCCCTCGTCTGCTCATTCCGACCGACCGACCGACCGCGCCACCCACTCTTGCCCGACCGTCCCCCTGTTCCGCCTCGCACGCACCCCTCCGCCCCGTGGCCCCCGTTTGTTGAATCCGGCCGATTGACCGACCGTGCCCCCCCCGCATTCCTCCGCCCCGTGGCTCCCCGGCTGCTCTCCAATCGACCGACCGACCGTGCCCCTCCCTTGCCCGACCGTGCTCTCCCGTCCCCCTGCCCCACCCCCGCGCCCCTCCGCCCCGTGGCTCCCGTCTGCTCATTTCGACCGACCGACCGACCGTGCCCCGCCCCCTGCCCACCCCCGCACCCCTTCGCCCCGTGGCCCTCGTCTGCTCATTCCGACCGACCGACCGACCGCGCCATCCCCTCTTGCCCGACCGTGCTCTCCCGTCCCCCTGCTCCCCCTCGCACGCACCCCTCCGCCCCGTGGCCCCCGTCTGCTGAATCCGGCCGATTGACCGACCGTGCCCCCCTCGCATTCCTCCGCCCCGTGGCTCCCTGGCTGCTTTCCGATCGACCGACCGACCGTGCCCCTCCCTTGCCCGACCGTGCTCTCCCGTCCCCCTGCACGAGCAGATGAAAATCTTAACTTCCATTGTTTGTTACAAATTAAAGTATCCCGGCAAAGCAACCTAACAGCGATGTGTATAAGCATATCTGGAAGCATTCCCCTTGAGATTCAGGTGAGAATCCAGTTGTAGAGTTCTGCTGTTCTCGCAGTCGCAATCACAGTGGCAGTCACAGTGGCAACGGCCTTCGGACCCAATGGAATCCTAAGGACTCCCACGGGTTCCTAAGGCATCCTCAGGCATCCTTAGGAATCCATAGGACACCCTTAGGAAACCTTAGGAATCCTGATTCCTATGGATTCCTGGGGATTCCTAAGGATTCCGACGGAATCCTAAGGATTCCGGAGGATGCTGAACTATGCATATGGAATCCAAAGGATGCCTACGGATTCCTAAAGATTCCTAAAGATTCCTAAGGATTCCTATGGATTCCTACGGATGCCTCAGCCTGCCTCAGTTTCAGCCTCAGCCTCAGCCTGCCTCGGCTTGCCTCAGCCTCGGCCTCAGCCTGCCTCGGCCGCAGCCTCAGCCTGCCTCAGCCTCAGCCTCAGCCTGCCTCAATATCAGCCTGCCTCAGCCTCAGCCTCAGCCTGCCTCGGCGTGCCTCAGCCTCAGCCTCAGCATGCCTCGGCCTCAGCCTGCCTCGGCCTCAGCGTGCCTCAGCTCGGGCATGTAAGATATGGCACAGGACTGGTGTTCTGGGAACACGAAGATCACGAAGTGGCCCACAGTTGGCTCCGGGCAATCGGAATATGGTACAGGAGTGGCGTTCTGGGAACACGAAGAACACGAAGAGGCCTACAGTTGGCTCCGGGCATTCAAAATGTGGCCTGGGAGTGGTGTTCTGGGAAGACGAAAAACACGAAGTGGCGTACAGCTGGCTCCGGGCATTCAACATGTGGCCTGGGGGTGGTGTTCTGGGAACAGAATCTGTAGGATCCATCGGGAACTATAGGAATCTATACGAATCCTGGGGGATCCCTGGGTTCCCCGGGTTTTCCCGGCGCCCGCCCACTTTTGAACCCACTAGAAACCTGTCAGTCTTCGCTGCTAGGTCATTTAATAAGTTTGGAACTTTGTTTTTTCTCCTCCTCCTCCTCCTCCTCCTCCTCTCCTTCCTCCTCCTCCTCCTCCTCCTCCTCCTCCTCCTCCTCCTCCTCCTCTCTCTCTCTCTCTCTTTCTCCCCTTCTGTCTGTCTATATTTCTCTAATTATCTCTCTCTCTCTCTCTCCCTTTCGGTTGAACTATCTGTATATGTCTGTCTATGTCTCTACTTGTCTTCCTCCCTCT